AGAAGCAAGAACACGTTGAGTGCTCGTCAAAAGACTAATTACACAGGATGAAACTTGGGTCCATCACTATGATCCAGAGACCAAAGCCCAGTCAATGTAGTGGAAGCAGATTTACTCACCACCTCCAAAGAAGGTAAGGGTGCAGCCCTCCACTGGCAAGGTCATGCTCACAGTCTTCTTGGACCAGGACGGAGTAGTGATCACACATTTCCTGGCAAAAGCTACCACAGTTACAGGAGCCTATTACTTTTGACGAAATTAAGAGAAGCTATCAAAATCAAGAGGAGGGGCAGGACAACGCTCCGGTCCACAACTCGCATGTCACCAGATCAGAAGCACGGGCGTGAGGCTATGAAATCCTCCCCCATCCCCCTTACTCTTCTGAGTTCTGAAGTTGTTTTTGGAAGGAAAGTGTTAATCTAGATTTGTTTCTGCAATATATGTTTATGTAATCACAGAGTTGTTGAAGTATGTGATATCATAAATGATATGTTTGTCCAATATCTTCGGGGGCATCGGCATCACTCCATGAAGTAGTCTGGCGCGAGTGAGTGTGGATGGCACGAGAGTGGGGAATGTTCGGTCGGAATAGGGTGGCCCTGAGAATTAGTGAGAAATGTTGAAATAGAGACAACTTGGTCTCAATGCGCAATAATAATAATAATATTAATAATAGATATAATAGTTAATAAAAGTTATATGCGTTGCTGTGACGTGAAATATCACTTTTTAAACTGCTATACAGTTAAAGCATGTACATGTACAGATATGTAAAGAATGACATTCGCAGTTACAAGGCTTGTAAACTTGCTCGATTCTTATTTTTCCAGCGACAACAGAGGTGAACTCTGACAGGCGAGACCGTGAATTCGGTTACGAGAAGGTAAAGAGATAGTTTTCACCCCATTGTTGATGAAACGACGAACCTAGCCACGGGTACTGGCATAGTTGGTTGGCTATGATAACCTGATAGTCGGGTTGCTCAAGAGGCTAATCATGCACTTATGCGTGTCAGTTGTCTGACAAAAAATATGTCATGGACAATAGGTGGAAATGAACTAGGCGAACCATGCAAATTACATTTCCCATGACACACTGGTGCAATCCCTGGGGTTGCCGGAGCCGCACGTTACTTTAAGGGATTACATTAATCCTTCTTCTCAGACTTCAGATATAATAGACTGACAGTCTTATTTGTTTCAAGATTTATAGATAAATTTTGTAAAAAAAATTAGATCTGTTTTTGGCCAGTGTGTGTGGCTGTGGGAATTCGGTTTGAATAAATCACATACAGTAGACTCAAGTGATCAAGTTCAAAAGAAAGTCATTAACTTCTTTATTCATGGGTAGAACACTGAACATTTCAACCAGTAACGACATCAGTAGTACAAACTTCAGTATTAAACTGTGAGTGCCCTTGATGAGGGGCAAAGAAGTGAATAACTTGGAAAACTATGAACTAAATTCAAATGTAGACTCCATTGATGACTGCCATGTCTATCAAGGCTAGGAATCATGGGTAACACTTGCATAATAATTAGCATGTTTGAGGTTGATTCCATTGCTCATAGGGGGTAACTCTTAATGTGAGAACACATATAAATGATCTAACAGTGAAATAATAAGGTAATTTCCTCAGTTAATAGGGAAATATGAATAAACTAGAATAATCTAAACTGTTTATAAAGATAACACTAGATAAATAAATCTATCTAAATGTAGAAATGTATTGATACATATTATCATGCATTTAACTAATTAACAAACACACGTTGACCTGTGCCTGACAGTGTGCACATCAGCCACAAAAAAGGGGATAAAATTTGACTTTCTGCATTTTTTCTAAAAAAAAAGAAAATCACATTGAGCATCCTTTTTTTAAGAAACTTATACTCAGAAACAGATTTTTTTTTCAATGAGGAATATACTAGCTAGTGCAATTTCTGGTGTGCACTAGATAATTGTAAAACAATTGAATTGTATGGCCTGATCATGATCACATTTAAATTTAAACAATAGTAAAAGCACAAAGTGCATCACTCTGAGATGGTGCTATAGCAAAGTTTGTATATGAATCATATGAGTCATCTGATAATGTTTATTTAAATAGATGTAGATATCAACGATAACAGCGAGGACACAAAGTCTGTGACACCACACACACAGTTCCAAATTGTCCGAAAATGCATTTAGAGGCAATATTTATACATTATTGACTGCATTTGAGATTGAAGACATTATTTATGCATTATAGGCAGCATTTAGTGGAAATATTTATACATTATTGACTGCATTTATAGGTAGCATTTAGAGGCAATATTTATACATGATTGACTGCATTTGGGATTGAAGACATTATTTATGCATTATAGGCAGCATTTAGTGGCAATATATATATACATTATTGACTGCATTTGGAATTGGAGGCAATATTTATGCTTTATGGCAATATTATACATTATTGACTGCATTTGGGATTGAAGACATTATTTATGCATTATAGGCAGCATTTAGTAGCAATATTTATACATTATTGACTGCATTTGGAATTGAAGACATTAATTATGCATTATAGACAGCATTTAGTGGCAATATTTATACATTATTGACTGCATTTGGATTGGAGGCATTATTTATGCATTATAGGCAGCATTTAGAGGCAATATTTATTTACACATTATTGACTGCATTTGGATTGGAGGCATTATTTATGCATTATACGCAGCATTTAGAGGTAATATTTATACATTATTGACTGCATTTGGGATTGAAGACATTATTTATGCATTATAGGCAGCATTTAGAGACAATATTTATACATTATTGACTGTATTTGTGATTGAAGACATTTATGCATTATAGGTAGCAACTTAGACTAGAGGCAATATTTATACATTATTGACTGCATTTCGGATTGAAGACATTATTTATGCATTATAGGCAGCATTTAGAGGCAATATTTGTACATTACTGACTGCATTTGGAATTGGAGGCATTATTTATGCATTATAGGCAGCATTTAGAGGCAATATTTATACATTATTGACTGCATTTGGGATTGAAGACATTATTTATGCATTATAGGTAGCATTTAGTGGAAATATTTATACATTATTGACTGCATTTGGAATTGGAGGCATATTTATGCATTATAGGCAGCATTTAGAGGCAATATTTATACATTATTGACTGCATTTGGATTGGAGGCATTATTTATGCATTATAGGCTGCATTTAGAGGCAACATTTATACATTACTGACTGCATTTGGAATTGGAGGCATTATTTGTGCATTATAATCAGCATTTAGTGGAAAT